ACAGCTGGGTGTTAAAAAGTACTTTTTTAGAGCTCATTTAAAAAGAAAACAACAACAAATAGAATACACTGTAGTTTTAAACTATTTTGAGTCCAAGCACCGTTGTATTATAAGAGATTCTTATGTGAAGATTCCCATATGCATAATTAACTCATAATGTTGCTATTATAATCTCATTAATATTATAAACACGAAACTTTCTGAAGATGGATATTACTACAAATATGCCGCCAGACCGGCTGAACGATATTTGAAACGATATTTAAAACATAGGTAGATTGTAGCCGAGAATAGGACATTGGCTAGATTTTATCCTGGCAATATTATAAAATTAGCCTCCAAAAGCTGGTATTGAATGCACGAACTAAATTTTGTTATGATTTTATTAAGTACCTAAATAGCGATAATATAGCTATAAATATGATCTTACTTATACAATGTATATCTATAATTTACTACGTAAAAATCCATACTAATATTATACATGCGAAAATGTGCCTGTCTGTCTGTCTGTTACCTCTTAGCGCTTAAACCGCTAAACCGATTGAGATGAAATTTATTATAGAGATCGTCCGAGGCCCGGGAACGGACATAGGGTGGTTTTTATCCCAGAAAACATCCTTTAAAGGGGGGAAGTTTGTATACGCAATCAATAATCGCTGAAGCGATTTAGATGAAATTTGGTATGATGATACTTTGATTCTTGACGAAAGACAGGTTACTGCGATAACCGACATTTACGGTGGCAGAGCCAAGGGCAAAAGCTAGTAACTCTATAAAATGCATATAACTAGATGATTTTAATTACTAATGATATTATTACTAATTGATCGCAAAAACTTAATAATACAACAGAATCAAATATGTATAATGAATGTATGTTTTTTTTATGACTGTTTTTTTTTTAGAACCTTCACACATGTGCCAACCAGTGGCGCCCAGAAATTAATTTCAAAACGTGTGTTGAAGACAAGGACGCAATAATTAATATCATATATTTTTAGAGACAGGTTATGTATTATAAAAACTGACTAAGACACTTTCTTCTAGCATTAAATTACTTTTACAGATAATGTATTCTGTTTTTCGTTGATGTATACTAAAATTTTACTTTTAGGACGGCCGCATATCAAGCACATTGCCAACTTAATGGGAAGTGGTCTATTAACGTTGGCAATACCAGTCGTTCCATTTGTAAAATACGAGTATACCAAAAAAATATGCCATTTCTAACACGGTTTTAAAAGAGGGTTGGGGTTTTAAAACACTTCACTAACCAAAAGAGGAACGGCTATTATTATGTTGCTTAATAGGTAGTGGCTTGAAAACAAGACAAAAATAGACGTAAGAAGCAGTATAGTACACGGGAAGATTGAATACGGTCCAAGGTCGCAGCAACAGAATAAATATTTGTAAAAGAACAAAGACGAAGTGTTGACATTTTAATTTTATACATTTCTTCAATCACTTTTTAAGTAACAAACATATTGTCTTAGACTTTAGATCGCAATCTCATCAAAGCAGATATAAATGGATTGCCAGTTGCCATTATAAATTCCTATCAAATTACACACTCCAGAGAGGTGGCAACTTTCTCCAAAACTGGCCCTACTCACGACAGGACAATATTATTAGCCACTTTCATAATATAGTCGTCTAGTGCCTATAAGTACCACATTAATCAATTTGTGTCGCAGACATGGAATAATTTAAAGCATAGAGTAATGATGTATGGTTCTTGATTGTCTGTGGTTCTAATTCTTGATCAGTCTATTTAATATATAATATAGTTTTTGAAATACAATGGGCTGATAGGCGGTAATAAAAAGAAGACTTAGAAACCTTTGGTTTATTACTTAATATTACTATTACTATAATACGTCATTAAATAATTTTTACGACATTAAGCGTGCAGAAAATTGATGTGTTTTTCAATTACATTAAATTGATTTTTAATTTACGGTGTCCATTAAAACGCCACATTCCATAAGCGTTTTGAAGAAATTAAACAAGTTTACAACATTAATATTTTAAATTCATTATAAATTATGTCAGAGTTGCATTGTAAACTCCTTTTCTAACGGTTGAAGCGTAGGTTACATAATTATTATAAAAAAAATATTATTTAAATCTGATTCACAGGTCCCGAGATTAACGAGAGCAACATTCACACAAAACTTTTTAGTTGTATTATAATAGTAAAGTATACGTTTTGTAACAATACGCCATTTAATTTTGAAACTTTAACACAGTAAATTTAGTAAATATTTGTGAAACTTGTTGATCAACAACATGAAAAATCCTTGGGTGGTGTTTCATTCACTTGAGGCTGTAAGGAATCCTTTAAAAGGGAGTGTACCGACCTGCCTAATTGTTTCGGTGGAACCTGATACAAGTTCGACCTTAGTGTTACATCTCATCATATTATATTAATCTCTTTATGAGTAATCTGGTTATTATATAGTACAGGCTCTGTCTAGTTAGGGATCAGACGGCCGTGTGTGAGATGTGCCAAATTAATATTTTCTCTGAATTATATGCGAATTATAACAATATTTATATTTTGTACATCCTTCGACAGTCAATCTTCATAAATCACTAACTTACTTTTATTAGGTTGTAAATAAATCGTGGTAGTCAATTTTTTACCTACTTCTCGTACATTCGCATCGAACTATAGCTTCGTATGTAGGTATATGTACCTAATTCGGATGACAATATTATATTATAATTAGGCATGTTTGAGCTGATCTGATAATGGAGACAGAAAATGGATATTAAAGTGAACTTAAAAAATAGTGTCTCAGCATCAGGAAAAAGCGTTTGTATAGTCTTTGATCGACACTATGACACTTAATTCGATATTCAAACTTAATTTCTCTTTTCGCAATAAAATAATTGACATTATAATTTCTTTTTCTTATCCATGTCGAGGAGAAAGTTGTAACCTTGTTTACTGCCTATCTTCTGAATCGTTAACTGATTCTAGATCACTGTGCTGCAAAGTTTTATTACTACTGAACAGTGTGCACAGTAGTACGAACGTAGTATGCGTTAGCAAGGTTGTAAAAAACAACTTTTTTGTCTCTTCTTTTACAATAAAGGTGGTCTTCAGCACGCTAAAAATGACAATTAAGTATTTATGTATTTTCAACCCTGACGTTTTTCAGTGATCCGTTGTTATTGTAGACTTGTAGAAGAACCGGCTTGACGGGGAGTACGAGTCAACAGGTATGGTATAGGGCACTGACCTACAGTTGGCGATGCATGTAGCATGAATGGCATCAATGCCGTTCAGCTGGTTGCCACTCTTAATGAATGCTTAATTTTTTTTTGTAATTTGTTGGAAGCAAGTAAAGACAATATCTAAATACGGGAGATGGATTAATAGCCGCTATCTTTGCGTCTCTACAAAAGATTACAGTTGACTTTCAAGTTTACTTGTTTACAAAGTCAGCTGCGATATCAGAGCTACTTTTTAATTGCAAATTATGTTCATAGTGAAAATAAGTTACGATAATTAGTAACACCGGTTAAGCAAACCTACTGATAGCACGTTTAATAACGGTATTTATCTTAATAATTTTAAAGTGAAAGAAATAATATTTAGACAGTCATAAAATAAATCTCTAGTTGAAGATATAACTGTAGTTTGAAGAGTAACTAAGTAGGTAGGTAATTCATACCGCTCACCTTCTCGCAAACTGCAGGCGAAACGTGTCGTTTCGAGCCAGTTGCACGCGCCCGTGTCCTTTTGAACTTAACAAAGGTCTACTTTCACCAACGCCAGCCCCCAAGATCAAACTTTACCATAAACGGCCCTCTCGGCGAATATAGCAACTTTGCTTACGCGCGTTTTTATTGAACAAAACAGTAAAGTACAATTGAAACGGTAAATTGCTATCGCATTAAAAAACCGTAGAAACACTTCACTAACACTTGTCAAGATTGACCACTTTTGTTTCACCGCACTGCTCTGATTCTGAGAAAAAAGGTCTTGTTTCTTCATGGGCCTCAAAAAAAGTTAGGAAACTTTTCGACGTTGTTCGTTGACCGAACGCAACACGCTCGTCATGAGACGATGCCGCCGCACGAATGGCGACCGGTTCGTCTGGGCGCGATGAGAACAAAACGAATCAAGAGAAGCAGAGCGTGCGCCGAGACAGAGCATTCATTGGTCATGTAAGTGGAAAAGAGACGGAGGATAGAACCGTTTACTAACCCCCCTTGCCCCGCGAGCCCAATTTAAGGGGAAGTTATAAAGTAAAAACACCTGCCTGTAAAATATATTTTATTGAACAATATCGACCCAGTTATTTTAGAATATTTTTTTTATTATTAAATAATATTAAATCTGCCTTCCTAGTGACTTTGTTTTCAAGTTATTGCATGTGGTTATGTCATGCCAATCTCAGTCTTGATTTTCATTGGAAAGTAAATAAGTAGTATAATGGTAAACAATGATATTTTAAATAACTAGTACATACATAGTGAAAGAAATTAAGTTGGTTCAGTATACATAATTAATATTAAAAAAGTTTAAATTGTGCTATAGTGAGCATAATGAATCTCAGGCATAAACATAATTTTAGTTCACCATTTCTTAATTAAACTTTACTTGACAAGATTACATTTATAATTAAATTATGGGTAACCTCATTTAAAAAAATAGGTCTTAATTTTTACATGAGATTAATATCACAAAATTATATTTATGCTCACGATTCAGAATGTCTAATATAAACTTATATGTAGGCTTCCAATAATTACTTTTTTCTTACGAACCTATTCACAACAGTATATGACATATAAAATTGATTTAATTTTTACTTAATTGACAGATATGAATACTAAAAAGCAAAATAGAAAAAGTTAAGAAAATTACTATAAAATAATATTCGAAGACTTGTGCAATAAAAGTATCTATAGAAATCTTCAATATACAAATAAAATTTAAATGTCAATTATTCTTAAAAATAATATATACAAAATATTAAATATCATTCCTTTAGTTTTAAATCTATTGGAACACTTAAATTTGTTGTAACTAGTAACGGGTTAGTTTGTGGTTGTCTTTTAACATCAAACGCTTTCTTCTGGGCTAAAATATTGGGTGCAGCTTTCTTCAAAAAGGCATTTCTAACACCTAAAACTATTGTATTTACAAAACTGACTATGACATATATTCCACCAATAATTGAGAATAATCTCAAAATAAACTTTATTAAATTCTCTTTTTCTTGGTACACTTTAATTTTTAATGCACCCATGTCATACTTAAAAAATATTCCAGGTACTCCGTGGGAACCTTTCATATGACTTATAGGTCTCTCCAGCTCTTTAACGGAGTACTGAAATGTTTTAATAGACTCAAATGTGGTGTCAACATCAGTGGGTACCACTTCAATAAAGTATTGATACAGCATGTTTTCTTCTGTTGTAATTTTTTGGTCCCCCTCCAGGGGGTATATGATGCCGTTGGCTGGACTACCAAAACTTAAACGGTTTATTCTGTGGCTAAAGTTTTGGGCTGTGTCATCAAAAAGCATATTCAAATGTATATGACCCCTTGGCAAGTGTAAACTTTTTCCTGCGGTCACATGGAAATTGCCAGCAACTTTGTTTAATGTTAGTACTCCATGGAGTCTGCATGCATCCGGGCGACGATTCGGTTTAGTTTTTCTTGGTGGTATTGTAGCACGAACCGACCCGTGACCTTTTTTCCATAACAGTTGCCATATAGAATGATATTCCTCACTAAGATACGAATTAATGTATTTTAAAGCGTCAAAGGCATCTTGTTGTTCCTGCGTTAGCTCGAACCAAGTATCCTCTTCTTGTAGCTCGCCAAAACCGAAAACACTCTGTGATGTGGAATCAAGAATATCAGCACCAATGTTTGAACATGGCATTGCCACAGTTACATCAATGTTAATACGAAGTTTTTCGTCCATATCTGTATCTGGCATGAATTTGAACACTAAATTACTATCTAGGTAATAAGAAACTTCGCTATATATTAACCACATAATAATAAAAAAAGTAATAACTGAAAATGTGCCGCCTACCGATGTACTGTCCACGTATTCTTCTGGCACTTTTGGAAAAGCATCGAGTTCTTTTACTCTATCGATAACTTTCTTTTTACCTCTATATCTTAACATTTTAATTAAAAAATAATTGGATTCAATAGACGAGTCGCTTTAAAGTTGACGTGTTTTTAACTTTTTTAGAATATTTTTTTTTACTATCACTTGACAAGTTTTTGACAGCGTGTAATTCGTTTGAAAGCATTGAACACAGATTATACAAACTTTGCGATGAAGATAAACAAATTTTGTTATAATTAAATTACAAATAATCTTAAACTATTATTTTTATTAACGTTCAGAATTTTCTAAATTCTAGTATGTGAGTTAAACCGATAATTGGTTAATTCTCTACTGTTAATCTAATTCCGAACAAAATTGTAATATTTTGACATTTCATGTTCGATGTCATCCTATCTGTTATTGCTGCTTTCTGAGTTTCATCTGCTCTGCTGCGAATTTGCTATTTTTATCATCGAGAGACAATACAAATATTTATGCAGTCCGAGGACGAAGACACTGCGTTGCATTCATGCTTCGATTCGCTGAAAACCGCCGTCATGGGGTGTTGCTATAGTATTTGTCACAAAGACACCGACCCGCAGGTAAATATAACGTTCTTATTTACATGTTATGCATTGTAACACTTCTTTTGGAACATTACATACACATAAGTAACGTAATGATGGTAAGGTTATTCAAGTGCTAAGTTCCCCTCCTCCAATTTTTACCTTTGACAGTAGCATTGAATACTACTTGTTGGTTATCATCATCATGATTTCCTAGTTGACTGACATTTCATTTAGTTTATTTTATAAACAATTTGGTAGGGAAATAAATCAGTGAGTCAGATAATTGTTTCAGTGTAATAGAAAGCTTCATATTATATTATCTAAAATGTATGATTATTAATGTGTTTTAAGACCATTCATTGCCTTTTTTTGCATATATTTGTATTTTAAACAGTATTGTTCAGTAACCCTTTGCCCTTAAAAACTTTGCAATGATGTTTGATGATTCAGCTTTTATAACCTGTATTGTAAAATATATTTTGTTATATATGTTATTTTCCTTATGAAATTCGAAACTGATAGCACAGATAAGCCCATTACAGATTGCCAGGTATGTTGTATCTGTACATGCCTAATATAAAAATATTTTACTTAGAGGTTCATCAGTAAAGTTTGGACATTTTCATACTCCCTAGAAGTTTTACAATTGATATTGAGTAGTCAGTAGAGTTGTAAATGAGGATACTCACAAATTTGATATTAATAATGGCTTGACCTCTGAATTTTTTCTGAAGTACCTGTTATCGGACTTCTAGAATTTGATATTAGGTTGCTTTTGCCTTCAAATCGCATCATCACATCAACAGCCTTTAATAGTCCACTGCTGGACATAGGCCACTCCTTAGAAAGGAGATGTTGGCCTACTATCTATTGCCGTCATAGTAAATAGGTATTAATCATTCACTTTTATTGCAGTAACTTTTGAGTGCTTACAAACCAATTAAAAAAATAAAAATGTAAAACTATTGTATTCATATTCCGAGTGGCTGTAAGTTAGCTCACATGCGAATTCAGTAATAAATAGGTGCAGTGCTACTTCAGACGTAATTTTATAGTTGAAGATTAAGTATATTGCTGGATAAGCCATTGAAATGTGATATCAAATAGGCACATGAAGCCTGCTAAGTAATTAGAGACTTTAGAGACTACACTAAATGAAATCACTTCTAGTTATCTATATCAAATCAGGTCTACACATGATATTGTAGCTTTACACTACTTTGTTATTTACTTATATTAAATTTTTTGCTGTACTAATATTTTATGATTCTTTTACATTTTTTCACAATAAAACTGCCCATGAATTCATCTATCTGCAGTCTATTTGACCTTCCAACAGTTGCCTGTCAGAAATTTCTATTTAGCGATAAGGCCGCCATTTGTACATAGTCATTAACTTGATATACTATTGTATGTATGATGTACTAAACAGGTGTACAATAAAGTTTATTCTGCTCTATTATTAGTATATGTCCTCATTACAGGATTAGTATATATCCTCTACTCTAATTCGGAGTCCGGGGCACTCCAAGAGCCATAACACATTTGTGTAAAATGAGTTGCAGTGTCAGGAGTACTCACTTACTGTAGTGCGAGCCATCTGATCATTATTTGACACACATGTATAAGTAAAAATTATTAGTTTTGCAGTCAAATAAATACTTAAATAAGTATTGTAACAATTGGATATGATACATCAATAGGAGCACATCTGTTTTACTAGTCAAAGTATTCAATTACATCACACATGCACTGTTCAATAATTTATGTACATACAAATTCATCCAGTGTCGTGAATTATGTGTGACTTGATCATGAGTCATTCAGTACACAATACTTGTACTTAGAACAATACTGATAAATCAAAGAAATAATATTTTCTAATTTAAAAGAAACTGTGAAAGTAGAGGAAAAAATAGCGCCCAACTGTTGGCGCGAAACGCCAAACAATTGGCTTTCAAATGCTTTTCCCGCGTTTAGTATCAGGAGTACTGTCTCTGGATACGCACACGTTGCTTTCATATTTTGTGTTGTTTATTATGACGATTTGTGTGATAAAAGTGTGTAGAAATTATAAAGGATGATCTAAATAAAATTAAAAAGTCACCTAACATCGGTAAGTATCTATTTCAGCAAAATAAGCCATTGAATTATTTCTAAAATAAATTATTATTGTGTTCGCCATTTTGTATATGTTGCTAGTTTATGAACTGCAGTCAAAACTCCCTTAAAAATGTAGCGTACTATGTAGTTATCGTTATTCTGTATACACATTACGTATAGTGAATTTAGTGATATTCCAAAAGCGATAACATTTAAATGGATATTATTTAAAAGGGTTTTAATTTTAAAGTGAAAACTTTTTATCTGCGTTAAGTAATTTTTGGTAAGAGAATAATTCATAGATTGGCGTCGATGATGCAATGGTAGTGTATGCGACTGCCTTGCAGAGGTTTCGGGTTCAATTCCCGGATCGGACAAAATGTTTGTACGATCGTGTGTTTTCTATTAAAAATAATAAAAAAAGTATAAAATTAAAATAAAATTCAGTCAATCTAGCTTTCGTATAACAAGCTCAGCTTAGGTTAGTGAAGAGTGTAAAAAAAAATGTCAACGTTACGTGTCACGTGTTGATCAAGACGTTTAAGTACATTTAATTATTTTCAACCCATATTTCTAATATAAGGGTGAAATAATTAACTACGTTTTACACACTTCATCTCACATGCACACAAGACATGCTCAAAGCGACACAGGAATATATTCCTCGGGCGGAATTATTCTTAAAAAAGAAACTAGCTTACTGCGCTGCGTAATTTAAGTTTATTTTTACCATTGTAATTTCGTTTATTGCATATCGTATCTAATTCGTTTCTATTGAAACTATTTGAAAACTAAAGTCGCTGGTAGGTATAGTTCTTACCCAAATTAATCAAGACGCGTGCTCCATTATGAATACTTTAGTGAGTAACGAACCATCATGATTATTTCAACATTATCAAATAACGAAACAATAAAAAAGTACGAAATACGAATCGGCTCGCATACACCTACGCAGGGCGGCGTGGGAGGAGTATCTATAATACCTCCGCGCCGCGGTCCCATTCCTTTCTCAATTTCAAAACACACAACGACAATAGTTTTATGTCTTGTCGATTTTTTGCCGTTATTTTAGTATCTATTATGTACTAACGTTTGTGACACTGACTGACTGGAAAGCTTTGAAAGTCAAGTTTAAAGAAATTCAGCCAGAATTAGGTCACGTGCTAGAAATTCTGGCGTCCCAAGCTTCTTCAGTTTTTGACCCCCGTATTTGACAGGAAAACGACGTCCATTTTATAGGTGGATTTTCGACTGTAATTCAAATTACAGGGAGTCGAATGAAGTTATCCAGAACGACGGGACCAAACCTATTACAAAGTATTTTCCGGTTTCAGGAAAACGTAGTTAACGAAAGAACACACTTGCTAGAAGTGACGGAGCAACAACAGGAAACGCCGGTGCCTGCGTCATCGGCGTCCACCCCACCGAGAAAGCCTGATGAGCAGAGCGCTCTCAACAGGATACTTCATGAGACTGCCACGTGAGTTTGATCCACTTTATTATTCCAGCCAGGATGTCTTTTTATTTATTTTAACTATAAAGATAGTACGTAGAAGAAGTTTGTTGGAGATACTTAAAGGATGTTTGAGTAATAATATTAAGCTAAGCAATAATCATTTTTTTTTAAAAGGAAAAAAAGGTGCTCACTGCACTGCAACTTCAATGCTCACAAACGAGAATTTATGTACCATTCCCTCATGTATGTTTAGTGCAGGAAGACTCTACTGCCTAGTAATTCTGTAAAAGTACTTTTCGAAATGGGGGTTTTCGAGTCGAACACAGATTTATTTCTCCTTAATAACTTGAAACACTACCAAGGCCGCCTTATCCGATTATATAAATCTGACGACATACACAGATGTTATAAATGCTTGTGCTCATCACACAATTATTGATCCTGGGTGGGAATCGAATCCACGACCTTTGACTCAGCTAGGATCCTTGACTATTAGCACAACAGGCCCATCACATATTTTAAAAACTGCCAACACACCAAGTCTCTTCGTATCTTTATATAGTTTTAACGACTTACTTGGTGTTGCATTTCAGTAACGTGATCGACGTGGGCGCCCTAGGCCCTTATGCACTAGAGGCGAGCGCATATAGCGAGCGTGTGCGCGTGTATAGCGCTCGCGTGGCGGGACTGGCCGCGGCCCCAGCGCCTCCGCCGCGCCTGCTCGCCGACTTGCCGCATGCCGAGCGCGCCAGCATGCTGTCCAACCCACCACTCGCGTTCGCTGATAAGGAGCTTGTGAGTACTTTGCCATTGAATTACTAAGCGAAGGTCAGATTTCTGGTACTGACGCGCTAGGTCGCTCTACCCCTTGAGAAGAATCTCTGTCTGGCCATAGTTACTCGGGCCTATATGAAATACGCATGTGAGAACTCAACTAATGACTGCAGCAATAGCGTAGTGGTTGAAGCGGTCACCTCGCCCCTTTCTACTGCGTGTTGGGGGTTCTATCCCCGCATGGGACATCAGTTTGTGTGATCCACAAATTCTTGTCTTGAGTCCGGGGTGTTCTTTGTACCCGTTTCATGTGTGTTTGTAAAGTATCACATACCTAGTGTGGGAGTAGTATTTTAAAAATTATTAATAAAAAAAATAAGCTTTCTATTTCATTTTAAAGTCAAGTCTCAATTACATAATTATACAAATAGCAATAACCTTGCGATAAGTGAAAGTTAATATGTTACATTTAAATGTTTCTGCAAACTTCTTAGTTTTGTTGTGTTTTTGTTTATTATGAATCAACATTTAATTATTAAAATAACAAGTAATTATAAAACATATTTACTAAATAATTTAAGAAGAATAAAAATCTACTTAGAAATTATAAGTTAATCTACCCGAGTACTGACTCAATATTTAAAGAAAATACTCACCACATTGAAGTGCAAATTAAAGTTATAAACAATGGCAGAACCTGTACTATGATAATCAGACTGCTGGTAAACATACTAATGCGGAGGAACGGGTTTCATGCCCGTCTGTAGTGAACAGGTGATGGTGCCCGGCGAGCCTCGACCCAACGATTGATGTTGCTTAATTGTTCATATCACGATACAGGATTAGCAGTTACTTCGTAGTTCGGTGTCTCTTTGTTAGATGGCGCTGTAGTATGTTTTTGTTTCATCACACTAATATATGTATTTCCAAATACCAACATATTGGAGATATTATGATACATAACATTTTAAATGTACATACATAATATTATGATGTATGTTTTGTATATTTCTTAGTGATAGAAGTTATTAAATTGTATACACCATGAACTAGCCCTGGCTCTCTTAAATTTAATCCACTTAAATTGACGAAATTTTATTGAACTATCTATGAAAATGCTGTTTGCAAAACTTTTCATTATAAAAATATTAAGTAATTTAGTTTTACCAAAATAGCAAACATTGAGTAGAAAAAATACTAAACATTTTATTTCTTCATGTTTTAATTTAGGTACAAATTCAATTAATTTATTTCATAAAATTCTCTTTTTCTTCTCCGAACTCTTCTCATAGTTCAACTCGCTATGACAAGTCAAATTCGGTGTCTGCGGTACGATTGTAGAAGTCTCTTTCCAATTCGATATGTCATAGCCCATTATTATTATATTTATTGTTAAAAAATGAGGCAGCCCCGGCTTTTTTCGAACCGGGCAGAAACTTAATAATAGCGCCCCATCTCTCTCCAGTTGCCGCTATAACAACAAATACTAAAAACATAATAAAATAAATATTCAAGTGGGGCTACCATACAAGAGACATGAATTTTTTGCCGTTTTTATTTATATTATAATGGTACGGAACCCATTGTGCGCGAGTTAGATCCGCACTTGGCGGGTTTTTTTATGTACACGGCTTTCTCTTGTTCTTTATCAATATCCTCTCTTTGCTCATAAGGTTTGTTGGAAAAGAACTCAACTAATGAATAAGCTTTGTGCGTACATTTTTTCCTTCTCAATTTTTTATTTTTATTTACATAAGAATATGAAACACAACATAAATATAAAATTGGTTATCAATTGGTTTAAAGTCGCCTATTGTGTTTTTCAAATAAAATAATATTAACTATTTTTTTATTATTATTTATAAACATCAAAATAAATATTAAAGTGATTCTCTTTCGTTTCCAGATAACGAACGCGGTAAAGAAAGCGGCAGCCGCCCTCTCTGAGCTCCGCGTGAAACATCTAGAGGATTTGGTGGTGCCCTTTAGGGTCCCTTAGCAGAGGTCCAACTCTTGCAGCGAGGACGTCCGACCCTCATACTGACCACCGCTACTTTAAGACAAGTATAGACATGCTAGATGAATAATACCGTTCGGGTATCGTCGGGTATTTCCTCGTGTTCGGAGTCCAAACGAACATCATAGAAGAACCCACACGCAGTTTTTGTATTAATGCTGTACCTGCTGTGCCTTCGCTGGCACATATTTGTATGTGAATTGCCAAAATAAAAATACCCTATATCACTTTTTATAACATCAGCTATCTACCAGTGAAATATTGTGCAAATCGAAACACCCGTTCCTGGGATTAGCTGGCACAAGCAGATAGATGACAAAATTAAAAAAAAGTTGTCTGTTATGAGTACCGTGAATAAAGCCGTTATAGTGGCATTACAAAGAGATAATTCAATTTTATTTATTTCTGTAGAGAAGTGATAAAAAAACTTTTTTTTATGGTATTTTACAGCGATAGTACATTCATATCGAATATCAGTGAATTATGTTACAGTAAATTAACGTTCAAAGTGGCTTCAGTGGTTCAGTGTAAAAAACAAGGCAATGCTCTGAAGTAAGTTAATAAATTGGCAACACTCCTTGAATGTCCTCAGTTTGGTCATAGACAATATCGATTTTTATTAGTTACAATTCCTTTTTTAAAAAGATTACGAACGGAGGTAATTTTAGTCTGAGGTATATGTTTCAAAGTAGCATATAGCTGTCTCGCTTTATCCCTATGTGACTGTATCTGTTTGTCTTTATTTGTTTCGCCTTCGTTTTTCTTTTTTTTATATTAAAGAATATGTGGAGAGTTTATTCGTCGAAAATGTCAAGAATTATGTAAAGCTACACAAGACTTGTAAAGCAAAAGCTACGCTACAAATGAAGTCAGTTGAAGTCAATGTACTTATTTGGAATTAATTACTGCAGTCTATTCGCGTTAAGAAAATAGTGATTCAACAATCAAGCCCCGCCCCCTGACCAATCAGGTTCCAAGGTTTCGTACGAAACGATAATTTCTAGGAACCTGATGGGTCAGAAGGCGTGGCCTGATCGATGGTTCTCCATTTTCTCAACGTAAATAGACTATAGTTTGGAAGGAAATCTAACGGTTCTGAGCGAACCAAATAAAATATTTTTGAACTTTGGAAAATATAAAATCCTGTAAGAATACACCACCTAGATGCTAATATTATACTAGTAAGTGCCTCGATTCTGTCCATCAGATAATCCATGTACTTGTTTGCTGCCTTAACAGTATAGAAACTTTATAACCCAAGATAACCCGATCGGTATTATTAATATATCAATTGTGAATAGCGTTGGCAGTGAGAGTTTATATGTGTAGGTTAGGAACCAAAGGACTTGTAAGACTGCAGAGGTAAAAGAGAAGATAAGAGTCGCTAATAACCTTCAAGTAAGTTTGATGTTATTAAACGTGATTTGTTAAAAAAATGGTTTCTGCTGGAGTATTGTATGAAGTCATTGATACACGTAGTTCAGGAAAGTAAGAAAAAAGGAGATGTCTCAGTTTTTCATAAAGTTATATTGCTCTAGAAAATATGTGATCTTGTCTCTTACATTGTGTTAACGCCGTTAATATTTACAAAATGGTTGGCAAAGAAGTTCCTGCCTAAAAAGCCAAGTTACCCACATTAAATATTTGAACCGAGTTGTGAAGAAAGGATTCTATCTTAAAGTAACTGCACGAATGGCGTAGTGACCTCGCCGCTTCCTACTGCGCTGAGTGTTATGGGTTCGGTCCCCAGATGGGACAACACTTTGTGTTATCCACGAATTGTACTGAGTCTGGGTGTTTTTTGTGTCCATCTCATGTATGCCTTTAAAGTCCCTTGCGACTCAGGATATGCCTAGGACAGGCGTGGTTCTTTTTTAAACAAATAACAGTTAAAATTAAAAAAGAAATATGTATTCATAATGAGAAAAAAACTCTTTGTGTAACTGTGATGTAAATGCGAATTCTAATCTTAATAACTAACAGGATAACTATTAAAATATTGTATTAGAATAGATGGAATTATTTCTGAACAACACGGTACATTTAGTAATAAAAAAAAAACTTAGCGAAGAGGCTTTTAATATAAAAAAGTTAATTATTTATAAATGTAAAGCTATAAAACGAACTATTAATTGGTATAAAAATTGGTACATAAATTTTAATATATACATATATTAAAATAACCGGCAATAATAATAATTAATTAATTAATTTTCCCAACCGTTACTGAGATTTCAGTCCCGACGAATTCATAGGGTTCGTTAGGTTCGGGAATATTTTGTTATCAATAGTTTACTAATCTAAATAATCAATAGTTTCTGTTTGTTGGGTTAGTAAATTTTTAAAATTATTATGAAACCAAAAACTTGTTTAAATTATATTCCCTTTTATAATTGTACTTTTAACTAAATTAACGCACTTAATTAGCATCAGATACTTTTAATTGTGGTCACACGCGAGGGTTTACTGGCCGTGGTCACAGGCGGACTATGTCCCTGTGACCACGGCCGGTGCAGCCTTGTCGTAACGTCAAGTTAAGTAGCAATTCAAAGGTATGTAATACTTATTAAGCGCATTAATTCCCGTTAGTCACTAATAATAATATATATCATGGAATGCGAAATTGCAAAAGTTAACTGTAAGCATTGAAGCGAAATTTTAGTAATACAAACTAGAACGTCATTTATACCGTCCTTAAAACTATCAGAACTAAAATGGGAAGTTTATTCATTTCTTTGTCGAACGTGTACGCGATATTCAAAGAAAGAATCGAATCTTTATTCATGAGTATTACAAAATAAATAGCAAAACAAAATTCGGTGTGAGGCCGGAACGTCACGGCAGATTGCGTCACTTCTTGATAAAGGGTTCTTAAATGATCCAAATAAAGTCGACACCCCTCGAAACATACGTGAATACTTTAATAAATATTAAGTTTTTGTTCAACAATTTAAAATAACAAAGTTTAACAAATAAATAGTACTATAAAATGAACGAATGTAACCTAGAGCCAAAATATTATATTTTGTTAATCAACTGATATTAGTATTACAGTCAGTTTTTACTTTAATTATAAAATAAAAATATTGACGACGCCCTGAAACATTACCTACGCTACTAAATAAAGACGAATAATCGTTTTGTCACGACTTGCTTGGTTTGCATTTATGTATGAATGTTTGTGAATTGTTTTCATCGTTTTTAAATATACTGTATTGAGGCAGAAACAATCTTATCCACATATTGAAGCGATGATAAACGGAATGTCACCACCCCTATTCATCCCGTGGGTGTCGTAAGAGCCGACTAAGGGAGCAAACTACGCAGGACAACAGCACTGCCAAGAGAAGGAAAACTTGAAACAAACCCTCTACTAACCGGTCTGGCCAGAGTGGTATAGTAGACCAAAACCTCCTTTCTAAGGAGAGGCCTATGTCCAGCAGTGGACTGTTATAGGCTGTTGATGATGATGATGATGATGATAAATGCTTAAATGTCAATATTGATTTGTATTTATATGTTTTGTATAAAACGCATTCAAACAGAAAAAACAAATCCTTGTTTTTATCACAACTACGTAAATGAGTTTTTTTTTCTAAATAGTACTACGTGTAATTTTTGGCGAGTAGGTAATTGTCATTATTCGTTTGATCAATTTGTGGATTGAAGCGATTGTGCACAACACAGTTACGTAACATGGGTCACGCATTACTAGTATTTTTATAAACCCCTTCCCTTCAGTTAAGCTTATGTTAGCAGTGAGTTCACGTTTTTGATGCATCGGTTGGCATTCGAACGAAATAATTAATAATTATTTTGCATACTAATTATTGAAAATTATGTAAAGCCTTACAAAAATCTTTATTCAACATTATTAGACCTTTGTTTTGCTAGTATAACGTTTCATTTCTATATGTGTAGTTAGTTACAAAGATTAGTAGAAAATAATCCTATATTTCTCATATTTTCTTAATTTTTTTTTCTATGCAACTAGTAAGGTGCCGCTATAAATTATTCTCATCTAAAATAAATTACGTAGTACTTTTTTTTTAGTAAAATTGGAAATTTCATGTAAATTATGATTTTAGGCGGAAACGATATTTAACTTTGGCCATGAAAATACCTACAAAGCAAGTTGCTCGAACACCTTTAAGAATAAATAATTATTTTATACAAATTAATAAATTAAAAATAAATTTAGAATAAATTCCTGAATCAATGATATATAATCATGTTTAAACACGGGAATCGACGCAATCACGTCCTGTTGTCCGACCACGGCCAGCCGAGTCGGACTGTGACCACGGCCGGTCGAGTCGGGCTGTGACCACGGCCAGCCAAGTTAGCCTGTGACCACTACCAGTGAAACGACAGATATTTGAAATGTATGTTATACCTTTTATGTGTTCGCGTTATTGCTCGTGTATGCACATAATTATATATTACCTTGGAACGCGAAAGTTTAAAAGTCACAGTGTATTTTATTGTCATAACACAAAAGAGACAAAACCATAATAAGGTCAAATGAGTAAATATGCCAAACATTTATTGTGAAATGAAACATTTAAATAACTTGTAGATATTGTATCATTCAAAATAATAACACGACTGACTTATTGTAGTTAGTTCTTTTTTATTGTAAAATATTATAGAAAAAAATATATGAGCTAACGGAAATACAACTTTCAGATACAATGATTATATATCCATAGATTAAGATTTTTTTTTTGTTCCGTGATTTTTTTTATTTAGTTATTTTGATTCTTAAAAAAAACCTTTAAATTGTTTCTGGTATGACCCGAAAATTTGTAGAATAAACTTTAATTTGTTTGAAAATATCTTTTTAAAAATTTCTGGCAAGTGATTTTTTTTTAAATGTTTTTTATTTGCTTAAACATTCTTACTACTACATTAAGGTTACAATAATTGCAAATACAAATATAATTAATGCAATTGAGACTTAAATATGTAAGATATAAAATTGTTATTCAATTGTATCATAATATCTGGAAGTTTTGTTTCTAGTTGTTTTAGTATAAAATTATATAAAAAACTTTGCTAAATAAAGAGCTTACTTCATTTATAATTACAACGATGCCATTTTTATATGTTTTGTATATAGACGCGACATTAGATATTTCTTGATAAGATACAATTTTAATTGAAATTTTATGTTCTAGCTGATTAGGGCGTGTACAGACTGTGCGACTTTTTGTATGAGCATTAAATGGGAACTTCTGGTCGTTAGAAAGCATGTAACCAATTCAAACCAAACCAGCTGATACTTGTTATGCTGTAAGCACCCCATAAGAAGTCTGAACGGTTGTCTACAAGTTCATCATTTTCAAAGTTAGAAACACGCAATAAGAAATAATATCGACGAAAGAATCCGCAGGTAGTAATTAGTTAAAATATTTGAAATCCATTGTTTATAATGAACAGTAAGGTAGGACAAAACTACCAGTGTGTACACATCTTTATCGCAGAGAGGTTTGGGAGGTGGAATATGTATGTATGTAATTACTTATAAAGATTATTATTGTTTATTGAATACCAGTTATTTTGTTATGCACATCATTAATGTATAGTATAAAATATAAATTTGTATTACATGTTGTGTATTATTATTTAATGAGTTGTACCAATACCAGTATTATGTATGTTCAAACGTCACGTGTGAACAACTTGTCCGTGTGGTGACGGATTAAGAATACAGATTGTCACTAACCCCAATCATCACGTAGGTGTCGTAAGAGCCGACTAAGGGGCACGCAGGACAACCATACTGCAAAGAGAAGGAAAACTTGACACAAACCCTATACCAACCCGTCTGGCCAGCGTGGTATAGTAGGCCAAAACCTCCTTTCTAAGGAGAGGCTTATGTTCAGCAGTGGACTGTTAAAGGCTGTTGATGATGATGATGATGATGCTTAAATGGAGTGGAGCAGAGCCGATCCCAAATTCGTATAAAACACGTGAACATGCAGTACTGAGCTGGATTGAACGGACTCGAGAGTGTTCACTTTACACTGCTTCATTGGAAACACTTACCACTTTTCATCTCTCTTCTCCACTCCACTCCGCTTTAGTGGAAATGCAGCATTAGCATGGGCAGCAAGTGACTTTACGACTCCGTCAATACTATCATAACGACCACATTTCACGCTCGACTACATCGTGTTTTCTCCAGTTATATTTAACGGGGCAACGAGCAGACGGTGACCTCATGGTAAGTAACTACCACCGCTCATGGGCAACTCAATGATCAGAAGGCGTGGCATTTGAGGTCTCTCAGGTTACGATCTTTTCTCGAAGGTATAGGCCCGGGAATACCACAATTAAAATAAGTAATCAAATGCAGGTTTTAATCAGTCAAGTCAGTCAACAAATCACCACCTAGCTATCGCCAACAGATGTATTAAGGATTAGGTGTTCGGTAGCTTTTAAGTTAATGGTCGTGGATCCTATAGGAAAAAAAAAACATTAAAAACATTTAGAGATATACCGCAAACCGTCTTGTTAGTAGAAATACACCTATAAAAATATAACAGACCTGCGTAAAAGAAGTTTTTCCCCAAAAATGAGACCTCGAACAAACGAACTCCTCGCTTCGTTATTCGAATAACATAGAGTTTAAGCTCTATGGTTTCAAATCAATATCAAAATTACATAATCTGTACATCGTGAAATGTCATTTGTATTTACAGCTTTTTGTTTTGTCGGTGGCGGTGAAGTAGACGGCCTACGTTTAAAATCATATATTTTGGTTACATTAATATATTAAAATGTCTGTTTTTGATGGAGAGATTGAGTTTAAATCTGTCACCATGGTGGACTTTGACAGGAAAATCAAACCGTAAGTGATAATTTTAATAGTAAAAAACAAATTCGTTTTACGTGTCTATCTGTGTATATCTGCTGCACTCGTAAACGACGCAACAGATTTTGATGTGGTTCTCATCATCAGTTAGATAACTTTTCAATGGAGGTTTATTATTTATGTCTTGCCGTTGACTGGTGCTGCGACACATGGGTCGGCTCAACCGGACTGATACCACGGCATCACAGAAAACCGATATTAAGCAATGCACCAAGTTATCGGAGCCCAAACCAAACAATCCTCCAGCAGTGCTATTCTCTAAGGAAACAGCCTTGCGTACGCTGCAACAACGTCAAACTTCAAGCTTAACTTAGTTTGAAATTCGACGCTGTGACGCTGTAGCGTCGAATTTCAAACGAACTTAGTTTGAAGTTATTTCCTTAGAGAATAGCACTGCTGATTCTAGGAGGCGGACTCCTAGAATCAGCAGTGCTATCCCAAACGGCGGCAACGCACTTGTGGCTCTTGAGTTGCAAGTATCCATGGGCGGCGGTAGTCACTTACCATCAGGTGACCCATCTACTCGTTTCTCCCCGGCCACCATAAATAATATGACCACCGCTACCCTAAAGACAAACACGAAACGTATCAAATAAACATATAAAGTTTGTGTTGATACGTCAATAGGTACTTTATCTAAGGCAGGAGCATAGAGCACTGCTTATTTGTAAGTTCTTGTATCTGTTTGTACAGTAAAAGTCCACGTCGTAAGGCAATTGACGACGACTGTCTAATCGTGGGGTTTAGCCGTGATGCGCTGAGGGCCAGGGAACAGCCGCGGAAGTATCCCGATAAACTTTGTCCGTTGACTCATGAGTATTATAAAGACGCTGTAAAGAGGGTAAGGTAATTTTATGTGGGTAGTTATCATCAACAGCTTTTAATAGTCTACTGCAAGACATAGAAAGTAGGTTTTGGCTTACTATACCACGCTGGCCCGACGGGTTATTGTAGGGATTGTTTAAAGTTTTCCTTCTCTTTGCAGTGCTGTTATTCTGAGTAGTTCGCTCTCTGAGTTGACTCTTACGACACATGTGGGTAGTAGGAAAAGTGACAATATTAAATAGACTTGGTTCAACGTTTTAAGGACGGAGGGTAAATGAAGAAATAACTATATTACACAGTGGACATTTGTAAAACTGAACTTTGATTCAAATCTCAAGAGATAGAAGATAGTATCTTACTCTCGAGAATAATGAATTCGAGATTTAAGTACAGCCCGAGACAAGTATTTTTCATTGACGCGATTCATTCCTCTCAGGATTATTTAGTAGCAAAACGGTATCTAACAACTGGGGAAAATAGCTTGTGGGACGGGACGGTGATGTGGCGTGATCAAGTTATAATGTATTACATAATACAGATGATAGTACAAATACCCGTCGCGGTCACGCCGCATCCGCTGTCTGACCCAACCTGTGATTGAATTACTATAAGTATTTATAAGCATATAATATTATATTTAGTTCGCAGAGGATCACCCAAAATTGACAGAAATGTATATGAGTAAAGAAATTGATCCAAAACCCATAGAGAATGACATACAAGATTTGAAGAGGACAGAGTACTTAGTGGAATATTGTTCGAGAGGTATTTATGAATAATGGTTTTTTTTCTTTCGGCTATAGAATAGATTTCTGGTTTTAAAATAAACTACTTCGCCTGCATCATTAAATGTGACATATTAAAGTACAGCTTCCTCTCATATCAATTTGTTTTTATTGATTTGATGTCTTCAAATCACGTCGGTCTGACGTCACATCATATCAACAGGCTGTAATAGTCTACTGCTGGACATAGGCCTCTTCTTAGAAAGAAGGTTTTGGCCTACGATACATACTGCATTGCTGCATATCAAAGTCAAAGTTAGAAGAATGGATATAGTGTTTTAGGCCGCGCCGATCCTAGGACGAACATCCCCATAGGTATGCGGCCCTAAGGTACTAGGTCCCTTGAAGGCCTTCGTCACATGTATTTTTATTACCTTTTGTATTTGTCTTGTCTGTATACAATTATATTTGTAAGGATGATCGGTGACAGGCAAAAAATAAAGGAATTCAAAACAAACCCCTTTTGCATTGGTACACTGTGCCGCAATCCCAAATTAAATTTGAGAAAAGGCAGGGAGGTGATAATGATACTTCAGAAACACTTGGTGGTACTTAAATTTGTTTGTAGGTATTTCTCAATTTTTATAAGTTCTGTAATCCTCTGATCGTAGAACTGCCGTTCATGTCCGTCAACTTGGCGCGTCGAGCCCGTGCCCTCCAGACCCTGCGGCTGCCAGATGACGTTGAGATTCCCGACACCACCCACCGAGCCAATCACCGAGCTCCAAAACCAGAGAAATACGAGGAACATCCCTCCACAATGTCTATGAAGCCCAAGTTTGATAATAAGTTGACAAGTAAATTTAATTTCTGCATTAAAATTAATTATTTTGTGAATTAAAGGATTTCTATAAAGGTTCTAGCATCTGAGAATAATATACACTACACACAACAATATTTTCTGTGGAGTGTTGCCGAAGCATAGATCTCCCATTAAAATTATTACTCTAAACGCAAATCACGCAAAGAGAAAGAAGAACAAGAAAAATATTGCTAAAATATGATATAAAGCCATGACGCCGAAAGCACCTAAAAGATAAGTTATTGGCAATTACGTCATGCCTTGTTGTTTCGTTATTAAATAGTACTTTGTTATGTGTTATGGTATTATTGCAGTTGTTGTTAGGTAATATAATAATATCCTGGGACGTATAATACAACGCTACGTAGACTTTAACAAGCAGAGCTTGTACTATACTATATAAAAAAAATATAAACAGTTTTAATAACTTTGCGTACCTATAATAAATTATGAATATGTACGAGAAATATAAAGACAAGGTAATGTGTATTACATACTTTTGAATTATTAATGTTTTGATAAGATTTTTTTATGAAGGGGCAATAGAGCAGACGGATCATCTGATAGAAAGTGACTACCGTCGCCCATGAACTGCAGGCGTTCAAAAGCGACTCAGGATTCAAAAGCGCGTTTCCGGTATTTGATAAGGAGTACGTTCTTTTCTTGAAGGTTTTAAGTCATATCGATCCGGAAATGCTGCAGGCCACTGGGTGATGAAAGATTTGATTTCGCTTAACTTCATATGCTAACTGCAGTAGTACCCCTTTGTCGTGCACTACTGTTTACGTAATTCCATTAACTCCATTATATAAACATAACAAAACACATATTTTACATAAAAGTCCCTAGACCAATGAAGTTAGACATATTATTATATACTAATATTTCAATAATAACGACATATCAAGCTAATTTTATTTCGTCTTCAACAGCTGAGCTGCGTCGTATCCTGCGCGTGCGCACAGGCGATACCTCATATAATACCGCCCACGGGTTGCTAGGCAAGGTGATTTTGGAAAAGCATCCATTTGGGAAGCCGCGCAAAGAACCGAAATTTGGACGTTGGCTCAACCCTTACACGTATACCTACAGAATTGATTGATGGATGCGATATTTTTGCATTAAATTGTAGTTTGTGATATAGTGGTGTTTTATTTATGATGATTTCACTCCTTTTTTTTCGGACATCCCCTCGGATACCACCTACCGGTCGGACTACCGTCGGACTGGAACCGACTAAAAACCGCATGCCGTCTCGGGTACCAGTAGCCGGGGAAACAGGTGTACCCTAGAATGGAAATCCCTGGTACCCCGATGTACCTCGGGTCATCTACGGCGAGTAGATTACCCCCTTCTGTGTGGAGGTGATTTTACTCCTGCGGCGACTTCCACATACAATGAAACAAAACATTGTTCAGTACCATTTAACAAAGATACACAATTTCTGGTTCTGCATCGCGATATAAAAAGTTTTCACCCTAATTAGCCTAGCCTACGCAGGCTCGGACGATCCTCCCTTTGTATTGGAGAGACATGACACCTGGTCCTCCCCAGCCAATTGATAGAATAATATCGGACTATTGTAATACTTATTTCTGATTCTTCGAAATCGAATGTTGCACTAGTTTTTACCCGCGTCTGCATTTAATAATAATAATAGTCTTAGAAATATCACAAACTGTCTGAACCCAAACTAGGCAAAGCTTGTAGCATGGTAACCAGACTGCTGATAAACATACTTATTTATTTCTAAATACATACATATTATAGATAAATTACACCCAGACACAGAACAAATGATCGTGCTCATCATTACTATCATCACAATTATTTGTCTAGGGTGGGAATCGAACCCAAGACCTCTGGCTTAGCAGTCAGGATCATTAACCACTGGACCAACAGTCCCGTTTATGTTGAATTTTTGCTTTATTTTGTTATACGCATAGTACCTAATAACCCAATGTCCTAAAATTGTAAGAGATCAGGTACTAACTATGCGATGGTATCTACCGCGCTCTACTTTTTTTTCTGAATTTCTGATGCGGCGTAGACAACCTTTCCAGGTCATTATCGCTGCAGAACCTATTGGTAGAGTGTGTGATAAATGCAAACTAATTTAGGAGAAGCATTATGGAAACTCCAAATGTTTTTAAAATGGCTGGCTGCTGCAACAGCTGCCTGGCTTTTAAAGCACTTTTTACCATGCAGCTACTGTAACTAAGCCACGTAAGTGTATGTCAAGAAGGAAAACTTGACACAAATCCAAAACCAAACCGTATAGTGGACCAATACCTCCTTTCTAAGTAGAGGCTTATGTCCAGCAGTGGATTATTAAAGGCTGTAGATGTTGTATTAAGTGACAGCATCAAGTGGCAAATATGTATGTGGCTGCAGCTGAGGTCTATTGACATTTTATTTATTAAAAAAAACAGCCTTCTGACGTTGTATCGTTCCTTAAGTATTAGTAAGGTTCAACCCTCTTTCCGAAATCATGCAACAAATCTAAAAAATACAAATCTAGGCAACAACGACCTGTCAATGTCATGTCAAAATAACACAAAAAAAATATATCTCTAATAATGTACATTTAGATCAAATCATAAAATTAATAGATTTAGAAATAATGAAATGAATCTGAGAGCTGATGGATCATTATTTAACGACTTATAGAAAGGACTATTTATGGCCCAATTTGCCAGGAGCCAGCTCTGGCGCTCACGGCGGTGGTGGTGGAGGCGGGTTAGCTGAGTGAGTGAAATAGATCCAATGACACTGCTACATAACTCTCAAACGGTATTAAGCTCATCTATTGATTGAGCATTTTGAAGCCTAACAGGTGGAGTCTTTTGAGGCATTCCTAACAGAAAATCCTAATAAAATTGTTCATTCCTAAAGTCTGGAACGGGAAATTTCAAAATTGCATTTTCAACTATGAATTTTTTCCAAGAAAGTTTTTATTCTTTGACAGCTATATTTTTTTATTTTACTGGATTCAAATGGGTATTTGGAAGAGCATTATATAAACTTACCATTGTTTTGTTATAATACTTTAAAAATCTTGTGTTAGTTTGTTAAGTTAAAACAATAACAACGAAGTGATAAAAACAGTATCTATATTTTTAAAAATGTTTGGTTTGTTTGTGTACATAAACTCACTCGCTTCAAAAACTTGCTTCAGGAAATTTCTGCACCGATTGAGCTTTAATGTTGACACGCTTCAAAGATTGTTTTTAGCTAATTTTTGCAACCACAATTTGCGTGCGTGGCTTGCCTCGCTTCGCTGTGGCACAATTCCTTTTATATATCTACTAACTGTGTCCTGGTACAGCTATTAGAATAGAAAATCTAAAAAGAAATTGTTGCCATCAACGACTACCTCGAATATCCTACAAACGGACATGAGGCGTAGCTTGGAAAATATTTCGGTATCATCATTTTATTAAGGAGATTAGGAAAATCAGTCATCTTATGACGTCTTTACAAATTCTGATATTTTCCTTGCAACGAATTTACTCTCCATATCATTTTCCAGAGTACCCAAATTATCCGGACAGGAATTAGCCTTTTACCAAGCATGCATGCAGCAAACACGGCCACCGGATTGCCGGTGTCCGCAGTACTCCGGGGCAGAGATGCCTACTCTGCCCCCAGGGAAAGAAAGCGGATGGAGCCGGAATGAGGTAGTCACCGATTTGATAGTGCAGCGTGAGATACCTTAGCAGAAAAAGAAAGAAAGAGATCTATAGTTATACTTTTTCTCTTTCTTTTTATGCTAAGGCATTTTGAAGGTCACTAGAAGAAGGAGAGAGTATTTTAACTACAACAAAATATTCCTGGAGATTAATTTACGTCATGTCATACGTGTTATTTTTTTTTAATTTTTTTTTAAGGCTTACTAGCAACTGACACTACTAGTATTCCTGTTAACCCCTCCAGCTAAGCTAAATTGCTTGTGTTGGTAGAAAATAATGGTGTCTGGAACGATGTCATCACCTGAACCTATTGCTATTACCTGATTAGCTCTCTAGTTGTGGTCGTATTTTAATGTTTATAGTAAATAGATTTGATTATAAATATTTCCCTTTTACCTAGTTAGTTCAATCTTAACAATATAAATCAATCCTTAATCAATCAAAATAAATAAAATGTAACACCTATTTGCAGCTCATGGGGCCTATGTTGGACCCGAAGTTATATCCAGTGAGGGTTGGAGCAGCACCTGAAACGCCAACATCAAGATATGATCAACCAAATGCTTTCTTAGACAAGGTACTTTCATAAAATAATGCCATTTCTTTAGTGGTCAGTCGATACATGTCTCCAAGTTCATTAATAGGTTAACTTGTGACAGAAGAATAGTGATATTTCAGCCTGAAATCATGGTGTACCTGGCCATATTTTTATCGTGTGCAATATTTGTTTAGCCTTTAACACAATCATAATGTAACATTTTATCTCAAACAGCTACAATCCAAATACCCGATGCTGTACAGCATCTTACAGAATGAGGCATCTCCTGAGCTCAAGCAACGTATTGACAGGGATCGGAACAAGACGACCTATCAAGTGGACTACTGCGAGAAAGGTATATTGAGACATCATTACTGCGTAGTCAAATTTGTAGTATTTTTTACCAGCTCATGGTACGTAGCAAGACAAGAATCGAGTGAGCAGCTTGAGATAACTTTAAATACCCCCACGTGGATCCGGTCCGTGTTATTTTCATCATCATCATTAACGACATTGCGGCCTGTTTGCTTCTTGACGCCATCAGGCCGCCATTCTACCACATAATGCAGTCCCTAATCTGCCACCAGAAGTCCCCAAAAGCGTAACCTACACATAACTTGATAAAGAGATGCTGCAAAACCGCTATTTTGTGGAAGATTCTAGGTGTAAGTATATCACCTGAACCGGATTTTATTTCTATGGGCTCATCATTTTCACTCCAATACTTTAGGTGCCGGCGCCCAGTTTGAAGGTCTACAGCGAGCAGCAGATGAAAGCGGCTCAGGCCCTTGCGCCCAACCAATGCGGCTACCTGGAGATCCGTGCCGAGTTGGGCCTAAACCTGGGAAATCGGCCCCTAGGACCATCTCTAAGCAGGGCAGCGCTGGGGCTGGCTCAGACCCGAGAGCTAAATGCGGTTAGTACCTAGTTTATAGACGTGTACTTTTTTTATCAATTATATAAAAACAGTTAATAGTGGTGTGCACAAAAGTGTACTAAAACGTTCAATTGATGTTGCGAATTTGTGTCACTTCCTTCTTTATCACATAACAACATAACAAATTTGGAAGAATAATAAATTAAGCTGACCGAACATGTGTATAAAAAAGAAAATATCGCCTAAGGACTTAGAAAACACTTAAAATACTTCTGTTATATTCTGTTCTGTATTCTGTATTACATCGAGACACGTCATGTATAAAATCATTCGACTATTTTTCTCACAGAAACATCATCAGCAGTGCCGCCCCTTGGCAAAACCGAATATCAAGATGGAGTTTCCAAGTTGGGCGCTATTATTATGCGCGACAAACTACACCGCCGATAAAAGACGAATCAAACCAATGCGATTCCTATCCATGGTGAGAAAAAGTGTTTCAAGAATAATTTAACAAATTTAAGACAAGCAATGAATGGGATGGGATCTGGTAAAAGTTTTGCGTTGGTTTGGTAACATTTCATAATAGATGCAAAAGAATCAGATATAATAAATATGTAACACACATTTTGGTTATTTTCATTTTTTCTTCTGCAGTAGAGTAAATAATGCTTAATCACTCTGACTAAGCTTTATTTCGTCTCTATGAGAAAGAGTACTCTTTAGTTTTAAATGCAATATTTTTTTAGGATGTCGCATGTCAAGTCATTAAATTTTGTCTTTAATAAGTTATCGTCTGCGGTATTTTAAGGCGTTACTCTTTTCAGCGCGTTGCCGGCCTTTTAGGAACGAGTTTTGCACTCCTTCCTAAAAGGCCGGCAACGCGTTTGTCTCCTGTGTTGCAGGGTTGCTGAGTTCTTGAGCGGCGGAAGTCACTTTCCATCAGATGACCCGTCTGCTCATCTGCCCCCTCTTCCATTTAAAAAATTCTATTTTAGTTACTTACACCACTTATTACAATTTACTATTTAGCAGAATTAGTCTATTTTAAAACTCGTTGAATTCATTTCAGTGATAGGTGGAACAGTCTTTATATAAATATTTTAAAGCAGTCAGCCAATAAATAACGATTTCGTTATTTTTGTTTCACGTAATCCTAGCTAAAGCACATGTAATACCCAAATAATTTATGTTCTATAGACAATGAGCTGGAAAAACGTATGTGACAGGCATTATTTTGATCGATGATGACCTTCAGGATGCAGATACAGTTTTACGACAGTATATAGTACTAAAAATACCGTGATCTTGTGATTTAGGCGTGTTAGTCACGAATAGTCGCGGGAATAAAAATCGTGAGCCGGTGAAAGGTCACGGCGGTGGGGTTGACAACTTTTTCGAAGGAAATTCCTTGTCAAACGTTACACGCTCTGAGCGGATGGGAGCGAGACCCAAAAATAGGTAACAAGACTTTATTTCGACACTTCACGCTATACTTCGTCCATAGCCCCTCACGGTGTTTTTTTCTGTAAATATTTACTTTGAAACAAAATAAATGTATTATTACTAACATAATTCAGTTTTCGTCGTTCTGCCCTTTAATAGTTTTTTTTTTCATAACACTCGTTAAAGTACAAAAGTCATCATTTCTTGTGTTTATCCTGTACTTTCTAGTAAACGTTCATAATGTAAGTCAACATTTTACACGTATCTGTTAATGAAAGTTCTACTTTTCCTTTGAACTCAACTTTTAAAAGAAAAAGGCAACTCCCGCACTATACTCGTATAGCAACGTGTCGCGGGGAACCCAATCAAAAACCGAATTAAATAAAAGAGGTTAAACTTTATTTTAGACATACTGTGAAAATACTGGAAAAATAGAATCCATTCCTCTGGTGAATAAATAAGCTTAAAGATTAGTAGAATAGTAATAGAATTAGTATTTGTATTAATTTAAAATTGCAGCTTGAAATATATTGATACATTCGCTGGTGCATAAACTAAAAATAACCCAGTTACTGATTAATATTTCAAACATTAACAACTTTATTAAAAAAAAAAGTGATATTAATTCCATGACTTAATAAGTACCTAAACAGTTGACAACCCCTTAAAAACTTAAGTCGAACATGCAAAACCGCAATAACTCTAACCTTATTATGAAAGAAAGTCGGAAAGAAATTACAAGCTTTGTGTCAGTTGATTAGTTTCCCTAGAACAGTCACACGGGGAAAAGACATCAGGTTGACTCTGGAACTTAGCTGGTATAAGCTCTCAGTACTGAGTTACACGTAGATATCAGCGTCGGAGTCTTGACTTTAGGTCATTATCATGCTCAAAGTATGATTGTTAAGCAAGATTGAAGAAAGCCTGAATGTAAGTACTCAAGTGGGTCCGAGTTACGAAGGGTTTTTACATTTTTTAGCGAAGCCATGTTCCTCAGCATGTAGCACGTAGAACGCAGTCCACCACTGTGATAACCGGACCGTGGACACGGCGCTCCACATGCTGACAGAATTTCCGGCGTGGGTAGAGCAAAGGCGTGGCCTCGTGGCGGCCATCGGGGTAGGAGTTCTCTCGCTCGGTAACATGATTGCGGCTATGGTGCTGAGCGAGAGTGCGTGGAACTCCGCCGTCTCCTTCTGCGAGCAAGTTATGCAGGTGCGTCCTTTTGGGAGCACAAAGGGTTCCCACACAGGAGAGGACATCTACACGTCGTAGAGGGCCCAAGGTACGTCGTGGCACCAGGGATTTCCTTTCTAGAGTACACCTGGTTGCCTGGCTACTGGTACCCGAGACGGCTTGCGGTTTTTTGTCGGTTCGAGTCCGACACTTCCACCGGTGGGTGGTATCCGAGGGCACAAAAGCTTTTCAGCTAGTGGTGATAAGTATATACCTATTGAATACATTCGCTAAAAGATCTAGTTTTGATATAAATCCTAAAAACCGTTTTAAATTTACCGTCAGAACGCGGATCGAATTCAATTATATTTTTCCAGTTGGTTACGGTAAATTTTATTTTTTATTTTTAACGTTTTTATATTGTAAATGTATTGCATTTTAAAATGTACTTGCTGTGACCTAATTTAGGTATTAAATGATTGGGTTTTAGTTTCTTTATCTGTCATGTAAAATATAGAACTTATTTATTGAGGAAAATGGCTGTCAGCGAATGGATGCAGTTCCAAAAAATCGGGATGGTTGGCGCTCCTTGGGAGAGGATGAACCTTTTTTATAACACCTTTTCTGTAATTTTGTATATATTTTGACATGATAAATTTGACTTTATTTTGACAATTATACTTCAGAAGTACACTTGACCTCTATTTTACAGATACATATTCCATAACGCGAAATAAATTCTAAAACTTGAACCATGTCGTTCTTAACTGAATATTTTGATGAATATCGTCAGCACCCCATCAGGAAAACTCAAATGTAAGTTGTTAATGTAATGTTTATGGAATTGAATCGCAGTTGACGCTCAAGCTCCTTCTACAGTCGCCTCTTGAGGACTTGCAAAGGGTGATAAAGAAATACGCAATAATGCAACAGTGTTTAGACATCTGTAGTAACTGTAACCGAATCAATAAGTTTATTCTTTTAAAGAGCTCATCAACACCTACCTATCATTTCCTGATTTTACATAAAATTTGGGTAGTTTGGTAGGGCAATAATAAATTTTGGCTGGTTGATTCTGTGGACATCTGCCTCCCTGATAGCGCAAGGGTAAACAGGTCAAGTCAAGTCTCGGATGAAAAAAAAATAGTTTAAAAAAACTAAAAAAAACACGCTTTTATAGAAAACCAAACTTAAAAATTGAAAATTAAATTTTATTAAATTTGATAAAAAGCGTTTGGTGCCTGTTGTCAATAGTAAAAAGCACCCCAGTTTGGTTTTCTATAAAAGCGTGTTTTTTAGTTTTTTTAACTTTTTTTTTTTTAATTAGTGTATTGTCATCGGTTCTCGATATATCTACAAAGTTTGAACGAATTCTGACCGTTTAAAGTCAGTCAAAATCACGCCCAAAGGAGTCGGCTACAAACATACAAACAAACATACAAGTGAAGCTAATATAAAGCGTGTAAAAATGGGACCGAAACTGCAGTAGTTTGCAGAGATCTGGTACGTGACCGCAGTCTTTGCAAACTACAGATGATGATGAAATTAACAAACTCATATGTACATCCAGTGATCGGGGAGATTGATAAGACTCCCTGCCTTCATCAACTGGCCTATTTCTATAAATAAAATAAACTCATTTAAGGTTCGAACTTTGCATTATCTTTTTAAGTGCTTGTGATGTTTATATCATTTGGCATGTTTCAGGTGCCGTCCAGAAAACCGTTGGGCGGAATTAGAAGGACAGTGGTTAGATCCAAAAGTTGGGACTCAGGATGTAAGTTCTTTTTCTCTTTTATTTATAATTATGTGGTAATGTCACGTTAAATGTCTAAATCATATTTTTAAACCTCTAAATGTTAGATTACGTAAAAAGTACTAAGATATAACTTCCATTTGTGACGGACAGAAAAAAAAAATTAAAACCTAGAATTAAGTATTTCAAAACCTACATAAAGATGAGTTGAATTCCTCAAAATTTGAAATGATGCAGTGGCATGGGAAAATAATCTTTTGTTCCTATAGTTTGTATAGACTTAGCTGGTCTAATTACACTAAACAAACCAGATGACAATTTCAAGTAAAGATTATATGTTTTGGAATTTAGCTTAATTGCTATTCCTGTTTGATACAGAAAGAATGGACGGACGAGGAAGTAAAGGAGTTTATCAAGACGACGATGAAGAGCGTTCGTGGACAGTCTGCTTACTTCAACGATTACTGCTCACACCTCGACCAAAGTATGTTTGAATACTGAACTACGAACCAAACTAACGTCGCCTGTAGGAAGGAACAATGCGCCCAGTTTTCCGTAGTTCGGAAAAGCCTCGAGATCTTTATTTGCTTATATTACTTTACTTTACTTACTACCGATATTTATGGCTAGTCTTCACCTACAGCTTCAATATGCTCTTTAAACTATGATAATTTTGTTCTCAACTAGAAAGTTAGTAAGCAAGTGTAATCCTTATAAAGGGTGCCTTCAATAACTTCCTTAGGATCCTAGGTGATGTTCAAAATTGGTACTTGTGTATATCATTATCAACATCAACAGCTTCTAACAGGGCACTACTGGACATGGACCTCTCCTTAGTAAATAGGTTTTGGCCTACTATACTACGCTGGCCAGACGTAGGTATAGGGTTAGTTTCAAGTTTTCCTCTTCTTTGCAGCGCTGTTCTCCTATGTAGTTAGCTCCCCTAGTCGGCTCTTACTACATCCTCAGGATGAGTAGGGGTCATGACACTCCGTATTCTTAAACCGCGTCACTACACGGACATGTGAACATCTGAACCTGAATAGTGGTCAAGTAACGGAAATATCTCTCAAGATCATTTTAGTTGGCATTGTAATCCTGTTTTTTTCTTTTGACTACATAGAGCATATCGTACACATGAATTAGCGAAAAAAAATCATCAATTTTAAATTTAAATACACAAATACAACACAAATAACAAATATTTATAACAAATATTTGCAGTTCATAAAAACATTTGGTCCGACCTATTAATCGAACCCGAGACCTCAGCACAGCAGTCGCATACGCAACCACTGCACCATCGAGGCAGTCCAAATGTATTATTATTACACTCTTGTCCATGCAGAACCGTGACCTGCTATAGTACAAAATTTCCTGGTCAATCATTAAAAAGGCATTTTATCTTAATCATAATAGAACTATTAAAGTGTGACACGTTCTTTTAATATTGTTTTTTTTTAAACAGTATTTAAATATCGCAAATTCAAGCCTCGCGTGAAAAAGCTCAAACCGTGCTCAGAGATGTTTGAGAAGAAAGTCGAAGAAGAAGCCCCCCCACCGCCTGAGGAGGGTCCGAAGCTGGCGATGAAGGATACGGTGCTCATGAAAATGGCTGCTCAAATGTATGAGAACGACCTCAGTGCACCGACCTTAAAGCCTTTGAGAACACACTACAGAGGTTAGTTGGTGCTATTAATACCAGAGAAAACGGGTGAGGTTTGACAGTTTTTTTTTTACTTGTGTAATGTAATACAAGCATACTATGGATAGTAGAGGCAAGGAGAACCATCTTTTTTTTTTTATGAAATAGGTGGCAAACGAGCAGACCTCAGATATCACCTGATGGAAAGCGACTACCGCCGCCCATGAAACCTGCAACTCAGAAGTCACAAGCGCGTTGCCAACCTTTGAGGAAGGAGTACGCTCTTTTCTTTTTCTTTTTTTCTCTCATACGAGGAGAAACTTGTAAAAGTGTCCAGCTGTATACTTAAAATAGAGGTCGCTGGCGTACGAAAAACTACGATATAAACATAGCTGTTGTAGATGGAGTGAAGTGTGCTAAGTTCAAATATTAAATACAACCAAAAAACTGCTGAGAGCAAAGGTGATTTTATTATTCTATCTTATTCTAATTACTTTGGTGCTTTCTTTAAAATTTATCCTAGGCAGCGCCACCCATATTTGACGTGTTTTTACGAACACTTTACATACTTACAGATGGTTCTCCTTACCTCTACCCTCCATAAAGCATAATTAAGCTGTGGAATAGGAAATTAAGTTGTCTCTGGAAGACGTCGGTTGCGTTCCAGGATATATAACAATGTTATACATGATGGAAAACGATACATACATACATTTAATGTTTAGTTTTTGGGCCATGCCGCCCACTACTACGCTGAGTGTTGTGGGTCCGATCCCCACATGGGACTACACTTTGTGTGATCCACAAATTGTTGTTCTGAGTCTGGGCGTTCTTTGTGTCCGTTTGATGTATGTTTGTAAAGTCCCGACACAGGAATATATTCCTAATGGAGTAGTTAAAAAGAGAAAAACAAACAGAATATAATATTTGAATGTAATATAGGTACATATCAGGCTATAGGCCAGTAGTACACAATATCATTACACAGTACCTTGTAGTGAAATTTGGTGATGATTTGCCTAGACCTTCATAAGAGCGCTTTGTCTACTATAATGATTTAAATAGCTTTATATTAATTAATTTAAGATATACATTAGTAAATAAGGTCTTAAAAAGCAGTATGCAAAAAAAAAAAACATTTGCGTACATATATAAATGGTATAAGGACAAATTTGCAGTTATATTTTATTTTAAATTATTATGTAACGTTTTTTGTTTATAAAAATAATTATACACGGTGTAAGGGACGTCGTAACGAATACTGAAATAGTGTATTCAGAGCATCATTCTGAGTCGAAAATCATTCGAATTTTCTGCAATCTTTTTATGCAATCAGCTGTCAAAGGTTAAGGTCATTCCCTGTAGGTATCGCACAAAAGTAATAACTACATGTGTTTTCCGTGCAAACAATCTACGCACACTAACACAAAATGGCGCCAGAGGGGAGGCCCCGCGCGCTTCGGCTGTTTGATTAATTACATGCCGGTTTTTTGGTATTTATTAAATTGTTTTCGGTAAAATGTTCTATCTACGCATTGTGATATCATTTTTCATCAGAAAAATGGAAAGTTAAAAAAGAAATTATGAATTTTCCGGCAGAAAATTTCAATGACTTTCGAATCATGGTCTGAATGCACTATTTCAGTATTCGGTACGATGTCCCTTACACCTTGTATAATTCTAGGAAATACAAAGGTTTTTGTTTTTATTCTGCCTGTAAGACTCTTGAGGTCTTCTATATAATAGCACAATATGTCATACTTGTAGAATAGAATTGTAGAATGTATTGCAGAAGAAAATAAATTGACTTGTTATTCATAGAAATTCTTGAGTCGTAGTTCTAATGTAGTTCCTTATACGTATTCTTCTACGGAGTACACTCGGAATGAATGAACGTCGATCAACATTGTAATGTAGATAATAATATTATTTGATGTATTTAGTTATATATATATTTACATATTGGTCTGCAAGCGTTCCTGAAATAAATTAATAACATTATCAAAAATATTTTTTATACAAATGCCCTACATAATACAGGCAAACGAACAGACGTATCGGCTGATGGTAAGTGAAAACCGCCGCCCATGGACTTCTGCAGCCCAAGAGATATAAGTGCACTTATATCTCAAAATCCTCCAGAACTAGAAGGGAGGGAAGGGTTGGATGTTCGGTAAACTCTCTCTCGTTGGACTGTCTAGCTGTATTTAACACTAGCTTTTGCCCGCGGCTCTGATCGCACGTATGTCGGTAATCGCATTAAAAAGTAGCCCACATCCTTCCTCAAGAATCAAGAAACCGGTACAGCGGTTATTGATTCCCCACACAAACCTCAACCCCTATTTTCACCTCCTTAGAGGACGATTTCTGGGCAAATCACTATCCTGTGTCCTTTCCCGGGTCTCGAACTATCTCTATGCCAAACTATATTTAAATCGGTTAAGCGATTTAAGCGTGAAGAGGTAACAGACAGACAGACACACTTTGACATTTATAATATTAGTATGGATAGCATTGCTAAATTAACTGCTGGATAGCACTGCTGATACTACTTTTTTATAAAAATATCTTTTTAGTATGTACTATCATTAAAACATGGGTTTGATTCCCGCTCAAGTCAAACATTTGTGTGCATGAACATTGCATGTTTGATTTGTCTGGGTGTTTCTATGTATGCATTTACAAAAAAAAGCTTAGTTTGGGACTAGATGTCTTTATGTGAATGTGAATGTTGTGTGAATATAGAATATATATAAATATATATATGTTCATATATATTAACCAATTTCCGTTACTACAACATATTATTTACAATAAAAAATACTATCAATTTGGTTTGCATAATCGGGAAATATATTGGATGAATAGATAGATTGTGCCGTGCAATAAGAGAGGCCTATGTCCAGTAGCGGATGATGATGATGACGAAACTGTAAATTGAAAAAAAAAGTAGTCCGAGCCCTTCTGTCCTACCGATTTGTTTATTATTATTTTTTAAATTATATGTTTCTCAAGAAAAAAATTAAGTTACCTAGCATTCATCCTTTTCAAATAATACTTAAACGTAATCTCCCCATCCTCTATTTTATTTTATCCATTCCTAACGCACTTCGTTTTGGTATAAGAACTTCCGCAAGAACAAGGTTTTCGATTAAGCTTTGACCGAGGTTAGGTTAGCTAGGACCGAGGCTTTGAACGAGGTTATCGATTAAGCTTTCGAGAAGTTTCTGGTGTGAACACTTAACTAAAACTTAATTCTGCGATGCAATACCTCTACGTAATAATAATAAAAGTATATTTATTTCTTAGAATATAATATTTGGGGAGTGCATACTGAAACTGCTTCAAAACGAATCCTAAAGCTTTACTCAGTTTGTGTCAGATAATGTTTCCATCAAGGGAAATCGAATCAGGACTAATAGTGTTTCTAGAACCAGTAAGTCAATAAAACAGTCCTTTTCAGGGCTTTTCTGTTTCTTTAAACAAAAATTCAATACGAGAGTTCTTTTTAGGACTTTACCGTTTCTTAAAGAACAAATGGTCCGGCGGTAGCCACAAATATATCAAACGCATCAAAGCATTCGATTATTCTAATCGTATTGATGTATTTAAGTTAATATTGAACCAAAATTAAAGCACACATCAGTTATTTTAATTGGCAACTAAAATATTAATGAAATATACTATGCAGACAGCAAAATAACATGTAATGGTATATTATTTTAAACAAAACATCAAATAATTATAACACAAAGTAAAGGAAGTGCATCTGAATTAGCAACGTGCGCAGGAGTTCGTGAAAATGCCCGGTGTTTGTTGTTCGTTACAATAGCAGTGTTTGGACGTCAGCAACGCGATAAACATAACATCTTGCCACACATTGTAATAATATTCAATTGTCTTAAGGGTTATTTTAACGGTACCTTGCTGTCACCTTAAATACTGAAGGATCTTTTTATCAAACGCCAAAACTTTGTGTTTATAGAACACTAGTATGTAATGAGGATCCATATTGGCTCACATAAAAATCTTATTCCTTTTTTTTTGTTTTAATCGGTTCCTCATACTTTTTTGTTCACAAAATTTAATTACTACCAACGGAACTCATAACAGACAGTTATCGTATTTTTATTACGTGGCCACTTACGGCATGGCTAGTCCACTAGCTTAAAGTCACCCTGTGGAAATAGCTATTCTCGGTGTATCTCTAAGGGATCGCATCAGGAATGAGGTGATCCAGCAGATAACCTTTTCATTTTTTCCATTGCGGGTACACAACACTATAAACAAAATAAAAGATACCGCTTTAAATATCTAACTTTCTAGCTTTAAATAACGGATAAATAACACTTTGATTAAGAAGTATATGAAAACAAATTAATGAATATTGGCGTTATGTATTAGAATGATCTCAGGACTCACGACTACCACGGTATGAATAGAGGTGGTGACACTCCGTATTCTTAATCCATCACCACACGAACAAGCCGCCATACCATTGAACTATATTTCAAAGTGTCGTAGAGTGTAAAAGAGTGTTCAATCGTTTGTATAAGAAAATATATAAAAACAAATATTAGTATAAACCAGGTGTATAATTAGTAATATTATGTATTCTGATAATAATGAGTTTCGAATGTTAGTGTTAAATATTTTTATGAAGAGTGATCATTATGATGTAAAATGGTGAGAGAAATATTTTCGAACTTAAGATAATAGGACTTAAAAATTTATGTGAAAAAATACGCACCTATGAAATGAATGTCCTCATACATCTCACACACGGCCGTCTGATACCTTGATCCCAAACTAGGCAGAGACTGTGCTATGGTCATCAGGCTGCCAATAAATACACTTATATGTTTGTAAGTACACACATATTATACATAAATTACATCCGGACACGGAAGAAATGATCGTGCTTATCACCCAATTGTTTGTCCTGGATGGGAATCGAACTCACGACCTTTGGCTTAGCAGTCGCGATCCCTAACCATTACACCAAATGGCCTGTCGAAACAACTGTTGTCGTTGGTGTGCAAAATCTGCTTTGGTGACACCAGTTTACTTTTTTCCTTTCCAAATTACGACAAAATTATGTGTGGCCGAGTTCCCTGGCATAGTGCCTAACATATGCTCCTTATAGGACTAGAAGTATGAGAACTGCCCCAAATGTGTGATACACGGATAGCGTAGTGATTTCAGTGATCACCGCGCCGTATCCTGCTGCGCTGAGTGTGTTGAGTTCGATCCGTTGAGTTCCATCCCCACATGAGACAACACTTAGTGTGATCCTCAAATTGTTGTACTGAGTCTGGGTCATCTGTGTGTCCTTTCCCTTTGTGTGTGTGTAAGTGTGAGCAAACAAGTAATCAGCCAATTACTTTAAAATAGTTTAATATTTCTTTACTTTTGTCAACAGTCCAAGGTTATTCCAGACCCTCGAACTGGCACATGGGTCTGTCAGAATACCAGAACAGTATGGGACGGCTGGCGTATGAGATGGTGAGAGATGACCGTATTCCACGCTACCATGCCCACAATGGATGTCGCCCACGCTGGGGCTTGCCCCCCGAGGGGGTGCGACAGCCGGAGCTTGATGGAGCACCTTACGACGGAGAGAGGCTGTATTAATATATTAGTTTTTGCTGCGATAGTTTGATGCTTGACGATTTTAATACGAACGATTTAGTAAAATAGTATAGATTATTTAAAGTTGATTGTACATAAAAAACAACTTAATAACATCTTTTGACCCACAAACAACATTGCTGTGTTCATCATCATCATCATCAGCCTATCGCAGCCTCTGCTGGACATAGGGCTCTCCCATTGCTGTGTTGGTTGTATATAATAACCAAGTTTAAAGCAATAAAATTACGGCATCTTTCAATGTATGTTTTGCTACCATTGGGGTGGTGCTTGTTGTTTCTTATATTGAACCACTCATTCAATTGTATCGAAAACAGGATGATTAAAATCTTTTTAGTGAATCTTAACTTTTCTTATCTCAACATACTTCTGTTTTATACCTTAATAAATAATTATGAAAAACATTGACTGGATTATCCATTTTATTTATTAACATAGCGTTTTTGACCGCAAGGAAGGACTGTTGTAAAGTGACTACCGTCGCCTATATGCAACTGCAACTCAGCGTCACAAGGCTGGCAACGCGCTTGTGACTTCTGAGTTGCAGGCGTTGTCGTCTGCTCGTTTGCCCCCAATTCCATGAACAAAAAAAACAAAAGCGAGTTCCCAATCCCATTCTGCCGCTACTAGCTGTGCCGACAGACGTTGTCCTCGTATTGGTATTATTAATCATATATTAGAAAATTATTTATTTATTTTAGTTATTAAAAAAAAAAGATTTGGCCCTAGAGCCATAGCCCTCAGGATCATTAATCAAATTCAAAATTAATATAAAAGTGTATAGTATTCAATAAAATGCTTTTCTTTCATAAGAACCTTCTCCTGACTATAAACAAAAAAGAATTAGCGAAATTAGTCCAGCTGTTCATGCGTGATGCCGTGACCAAGGGAAATAGTTACCTAACATATAAAAATGAATTGCTGTTCCTAAGTCTTACTAAAACTCGGGAATAGCTTTACCGGTTTGGCTAATTTTGGTCTTGAAATATTTGTTCAAGTCCAGAGAAAGTTTAAACGATGAGAAAATACATAAAAAGCTAAAGAAAATATTTAAAACAACAATTTTATTTTCTCATACAAAATGTTGCAAAAACAGGGTAAATTAATTGCTTTCAAGGGACGCAGACGAAGTTGCGAGAGTCAGATAGTTAATATATATATATATATATATATATATATATATATATATATACGATATTTATAGATATGTGTCAATAAAATTATAGTCGCGTTTTAATACTCGTACCCCTCAGTCCGGGAAAAAAGACGGGAGTGAGTGAGATATGTATATTTTCCGTATAGAAATTTATTAACCTCTAAGATAAAGAAGTACCAACCTCATTTAGCAGTAGATAAAATGTTTGATGGATGCCCGAAGATATTGCCATGTACAATCTTTACTTAAGATAGTTCAATGTCTGTATTTGAAGTATATATCCCTTTTACTGTTCGTTTATTGTTAGCGTAAATTTGGATTCCTCGAAACTCATGTTTGTAGAATAAGTATTTATAACAATGTCATAAAATGCGTTTATAATATTATGAACACTATAAAGAGCACAATTTGTGTTGAAGCAAAACATTCGAGATGAGGGATATACACTGTTGGCAAAATTATGATTTAAAGTATGCGATACGATTCCGACACGACATGGCCTAAGATTACGTGTTAACATGGTTCAAGGTATCTCCATTGTTTTATTGACCTTTATTTTTCGAGTGTAGAATTGTGAAGTGTGTCCAGGGCGAAACAGTTCTACTGATTTTTGCCTGAGAGGTAAAGCGGATGAGTAATTGCAGATATTACTCAAAAAATTTATTTATTTATTTATTTATTTATTTATTTATTTATTTATTTATTTATTTATTTATTTATTAGGGATAACAAACAATAGTACAATATTCAATAATAATTAATATTAATTTTAGGTACAAATGTGCTAATTGTACTACCAACAGCATTATCCACTTTTTACTATACACAATGTTATAATAAAATGGAGCATGCTACGTGATAATATTTATAATATAATTTTATATAATATTTTTTGTACATATAAATTATTACAACTTGTATTTGCACAACAAAAATGTAGACACACGATGTATGACTAAACTAGACATATATTAAATTAAAATGGTAAATAATTACGGAAATTCAGAAACCAACCCGGAAGCAGTCATATCATTCAAGCACTCTAGTACAATTTTTTTATATTTGATTGCTGAATGCATGAAGATATCCGTACTGTTAAAATAGGTATTGTAATTGTCTACAAGCCGTCGCAGAGGTGTTCTTAAGCCTGCATTTGTTTTAGGGACCTGGTAAGGCGTAATCGCTAAGAGACGATGTGAGCGAACCTGCCTTCGCATGACTGTTCTGGGAACGATGTAACATAATCTATTTGATAATTCCAGACAGTCATACTTGTTATGAACAATGCCATGTAAGAACATAGTTCCAAGAAGGAGTCTCCTGCTTTCCAAGGTAGACAAATTGTATTTCAGGAGTAGACAATCATATGCCTGATAGCCATGGCAACATCTGTAATGAAGCGTCCGCAAGAATTTTTTTTGGACATTTTCCAATGCCCCGATGTATTTATTGTAAAACGGATTCCAGACCATGGTAGCAAACTCGAGACAAGATCTTACTAGCGTTATATAAAGGTATCTACAAGTATTTGGGTTTTTAAATTCTTTAGTGTTCCGTATAACAAATCCGAGCATTCTATATGCAGCCTTAATGATATTTTCGATATGAATGTCAAAATGCAATTTAGAATCTATAACAACACCAAGGTCTCTAAGCGAAGATACTTTAATCAAAGGTTGGTCATTTAAGACATAAGTGCAGTTGAATACCTTTTTATTTTTTGTGAAGGATATAGCATTACATTTAGGCAAGCTTAGGAAAAGTTTATTTTCACTACAATATTTTGCCAGCCGATTTAAATCACTTTGGAAAAGCTGGCAGTCATTAAGATCATTGATAGTTTTATAGATTTTGAGGTCATCTGCGTATAACAAAAATTTAGAATGAAAGAAACAAGTGTCAATATCGTTAATAAATAGAACAAATAATAAAGGACCCAAAATAGAGCGCTGAGGAACTCCAGATGTTACGAAAATTTGGTCCGAATGATTTAAATCTATGACACAGTACTATATTGTATAATGTTTTTATTCCATGTGGCCTTACCGGGGCCCATAGTGTAGTAGTATGTTGGAATCGAACCCATTAAAACCACATGGTGTACCGTCACATGTAGTCTATTACAAGGTTCTCGGGTATACTCGTACGTTATGAAGGAAATCCCCGAGAACCTTAGCAAACCTTGGTCGCCATAGGCAACCACATCATCATCGTCATCAATAGCCTTTAGCCTGGAGATAGGCCTTCCCTCACATAGCAGATTTTGGTCTACTATACCATGCTGTCCAGACGGATGGTATAGGGTTTCTTTCAAGTTCTCTTTCTCTTTACAGTGCTGTTGTTCTTGCGTAATTATCTCCCTCAGTCGGTCACGACACCCACGGTATGAATAGGGGTGGTGACACTCCGTATTCTTAATCAGTCACCACACTGACAGGCAGTCACACCATTGAACTATATTGTAAAGTGTCGTAGAGTGTAAAAGAGTATTTAAATGCGTTGACGGGCTTATAATGTATAAACGGCTTAAAAAAAAACTTTTAAATGTAATCTATGTTTATACCAGCGAAATTCCGTATAGGTAAGACGCACGCCACTCACTCAGTTGTTTTGTTTTTAGCTAAGAGTTATTTTTGAATTTGTAAACGATTACTGAATAGAACTAGGGGTATTTTAGCGATTGTGCCACCTTGTTTAGGTTTCAAGATACACTTGTGTAGTGGTGGCTGGATAACGTTATTTAGGATAACAAAAATAACGAAAACTAGTTTTGACTGGACGGATGGCGTAGTGGTTTAAGCGGTCGCCACGACGCTTACTACTACGGTGAGTGTTGTGGGTCCGATCCCGACATGGGACGACACTTTGCGTGATTCACAAATTGTTCTTCTAAGTCTGGGTGTTCTTTGTGTCCGTTTCATGTATGTTTGTAAAGTCCCCCGCGACACAGGATATATTCCTAATGCGGGAGTTTTCTATTTAAAAAATCGATATCCGTCCTCAAAAATCAAAATTTGGTCAGAGTCAGTCAAAATTTGGTTTTTAGTGTAATCACCACATACTACTGGCTCCTGATTTTCACCCGCGTCAACAAAAAAAAAGGACTTCTCGAACTAAAATAAAACGGATACTTGAGTAGAGATCAACAACACAATACCCAAGTGATTTACACAGTGAGTCGTCACTCGAATACTGTTCTACTCGTACAACATGCAGCAAACACACACTCAAAATACAATTTGTCGATCACAATTTGATTGTGTAAGTATGTAGCGTGATATTTTCACTTAAGGTTCGACCCATTTAAATTTGTAAGAAAGTATTCTACTTCAAAGAAACACCACAGGGAAACCCTTTGAAGTACAACCTTGAGTGAAAATATTATTTCACATACACAGAAATAAATTTTTTTTCTTTTGTTTTTAAACAACTCCCGCATTAGGAATGTATCCTGTGTCGCGGGGGACTTTACAAACATACATAAAACGGACACAAAGAACACCCAGAGTCAGAACAACAATTTGTGGATCACACAAAGTGATGTCCCGTGTGGGGATCGGACCCACAACACTCAGCGTAGTAGTAAGCGGCGTGGCGACTGAAATAAAGGGAAAAGAAAACAGCTTATTATAACATACTTTATTATAATTTAACCACCATAAAAAGTATGACTGACTTCGATAATTTGGTGACACTCTTTATAACGTTAATGTAAGTTAATTATTCCGTTAAACTAATTGTTATCAAACTCTGATCTCCAGTCTTTCTCGCCCATTCCATCCTATTCTCAGCGCGTGAATAAGTCCCTTTAATATTGTAGTCATAT